GGGGATTTGGCACAGTCTGAGGGGATAATTTGGGGAAGGGGTTGACACTGGGGGGGGCACGGCCTGAGGGGGAATTTGAGGAGGGGGAGATGAAGATTAAGGGAGGCAAATTCGGAGCGGGGTGGGAAATTGGGAGGGGGGGGATCAGGGCGTGAAAGGGGTAATTAAAAGGAGACATAATGAAGAGAGTAATTAACGGGGAGGAATAAACGCTCCCCTCCCCCTCCAGTGGACTCCTCCCCCATTGTCACACCCCCTGCCGTGGGGGGGTAATTAACTCTTTCGGGGTAATTGCCGTGGGGGGTGTAATTAAACATTCTCCGCGGGATTTTGGGGGGAGGGGGCGTGTCGAGCTGGGGGGGTACAGGGGGTCCCCAGAGGGGTGGGAGTGGGGCAAACTGCACACCTACAACACAGGTGGGGGTCCTGGGGGCGGCACTTGCGGGTATGGGGGCGTCGCCAGAATGGTGGCATTGGGGAGAAAGTGTACGTGTACAGCACAGGTGGGGCTGGGGGGGCACAGGGGGGATCCCCACAGGGATGGATGGGATTTGGGATCATTCCTGGTGTCCCCACTGTGTCCCTGTCCCCATTTTGTCCCCAAGAACCACCAACCACTGGTTCATCCTGGTGCTTTTGGGGGTGTCATTGTCTCTGTGTCGCTGGTCCCATTTTGTCCCCTAACAAATGAGTGAGCTAGTGATTTGTTCTGGAAATTTAGGGGTGTCATTATCCGTGTGTCCGTGTCCCTCAGTGTGTCCCTGTCCCCAACAGTCATTCAGCAGTTTGGGGGGATTATTGTCAGTGTTTTCTCTCTGTGTCCCTGTCCCCACTTTGTCCCCACAGCCACCAACCAGGGATTCATCCTGGGTGTTCAGGGGATCATTCTCACTGTCCCCTCTGTGTCCCTGTCCCCTGTGTCCCCACAGCCACCAACCAGTGGTTCATCCTGGGGGTTCAGGAGCTCATTCCCACTGTCCCCTCTGTGTCACTGTCCTCTCCGTGTCCCCACAGCCACCAACCAGTGGTTCATCCTGGGGGTTCAGGAGCTCATTCCCACTGTCCCCTCTGTGTCACTGTCCTCTCCGTGTCCCCACAGCCACCAACCAGTGGTTCATCCCGGCCGTGCGGGGGGACATCCCCCCGGGCTGTGCCGCCTACGGCTTCGTGTGTGACGGCACGCGGCTGCTGGTGTTCGGGGGCATGGTGGAGTACGGCAAGTACAGCAACGACCTCTACGAGCTGCAGGTAGGGAACCCCTGGGAACCCCCCCTGAGCACCTGGGGGACACCTGGGGAACCCCCTGAGCACCTGGGGAACCCCCCCTGAGCACCTGGGGGACACCTGGGGAACCCCCCCTGAGCACCTGGGAACCCCTGAGCACCTGGGGAACCCCTGGGGAACCCCCTGAGCACCTGGGGAACCCCTGAGCACTTGGGGAGCACCTGGGGAACTCCCTGAGCACCTGGGGAACCCCCTGAGCACCTGGGGAACCCCCACTGAACACCTGGGGAACCCATGGGGAACCACCTGAGCCCCTGGGGAGCCCCCTGAGCACCCGGGGAACCCCTGGGAACCCCCCCTGAGCACCTGGGGGACACCTGGGGAACCCCCTGAGCACCTGGGGAACCCCTGAGGGAACCCCTGGGGAACCCCCCCCGAGCTCCTGGGGAACCCCCCTGAGCATGTGGGGACCACCTGGGGAAACCCCCTGAACTGTGGGTGACCCCCTGGGAACCCCCCCAAACCATGGGTGACCCCTTGGGACCCTCCCAGACACCTGGGACCACCCCCCAGGACCCATTTTTGGGGTCCCCTCTCCCCCTGGGTGCCCCCCACTCGCAGACCCCTCCCCAAATCCCACATCCCCCCCCCATTCCAGGCCTCCAGGTGGGAGTGGAAGCGGCTGAAGGCGAAGACCCCCAAAAATGGACCCCCCCCTTGCCCCCGGCTGGGCCACAGCTTCTCCCTGGTGGGCAACAAGTGTTACCTGTTCGGGGGGCTGGCCAACGACAGCGAGGACCCCAAAAACAACATCCCCCGGTACGGGGCACCCCAAAACCCCAGGGCACCCCCAAACCCCGGGGGCACCCCAAAAACCCTGGGAATCCATGTGGGGAGGGGGCTTGGGGCTGGTTTGGGTGTGGAGGTCCCCAGAGGGGTGGGATTGAGGCTCATTCCTGGTGTCCCCCTTGTGTCCCTGTCTCTGTTCTGTCTCCCAAGAGCCACCCGGCAGTGGTTCATTTTGGGGGTTTGGGGGCCTCATTGTCACTGTGTCCCTGTCTCCTCTGTGTCCCCCCCAGCCACCCAGCAGTGCCTCATGCTGGGGGTTCAGGGGAGTCGTTCTCAGCCTGTCACTGTCCCCATTTTGTCCCCAACAGCCACCAATGTACGGTTCATTGTGGCAGTTTGGGTGGGATCGTTCTTAGTCTGTCATTGTCCCCCCCAGCCACCAACTGGTGGTTCAGGGGATTGTTCTCACTGTCCCCTGTGTCCCCACAGCCACCAACCAGGAATTCATCTTGGGGGTTCAAGGGATCATTCTCAGTGTCAGTGATTCAGGGGAGCACTCTCTGTGTCCCCACAGCCACCAAGCAGGGATTCATCCTGGGGGTTCAGTGACCATTCTCACTGTCCCCCCTGTGTCACTGTCCCTTCCGTGTCCCCACAGCCACCAAGCAGTGGTTCATTCTGGGGTTTCAGTGACCATTCTCACTGTCCCCCATGTCTCTGTCCCCTCTGTGTCCCCACAGCCACCAAGCAGGGATTCATCCTGGGGGTTCAGGGACTCATTCCCACTGTCCTCTCTGTGTCACTGTCCCCTCCGTGTCCCCACAGCCACCAACCAGGGATTCATCCTGGGGGTTCAGGGGCTCATTCTCCCTGTCCCCCCTGTGTCACTGTCCCCTGTGTCCCCACAGCCACCAACCAGTGGTTTATCCTGGGGGTTCAGGGGCTCATTCTCACCTGGGAATCCATGTGGGGAGGGGGCTTGGGGCTGGTGTGGGGGCACTTGGGGGGTGTGGGGGTGAGGCTGAAACATTGGGGTCATTTTTAGGGGGCACCCCAAAACCCCAGGGCACCCCCAAACCCCGGGGGCACCCCAAAAACCCTGGGAATCCATGTGGGGAGGGGGCTTGGGGCTGGTTTGGGGGCACTTGGGGGGTGTGGGGGTGAGGCTGAAACATTGGGGTCATTTTTAGGGGGCACCCCAAAACCCCCCCACAGCCACCAACCAGGAATTCATCTTGGGGGTTCAAGGGATCATTCTCAGTGTCAGTGATTCAGGGGAGCACTCTCTGTGTCCCCACAGCCACCAAGCAGGGATTCATCCTGGGGGTTCAGTGACCATTCTCACTGTCCCCCCTGTGTCACTGTCCCTTCCGTGTCCCCACAGCCACCAAGCAGTGGTTCATTCTGGGGTTTCAGTGACCATTCTCACTGTCCCCCATGTCTCTGTCCCCTCTGTGTCCCCACAGCCACCAAGCAGGGATTCATCCTGGGGGTTCAGGGACTCATTCCCACTGTCCTCTCTGTGTCACTGTCCCCTCCGTGTCCCCACAGCCACCAACCAGGGATTCATCCTGGGGGTTCAGGGGCTCATTCTCCCTGTCCCCCCTGTGGCTTGGGGCTGGTATGGGGGCACACAGGGGCTCTTGGGGGGTGAGGCTGAAATATTTGGGTCATTTTTAGGGGGCACCCCAAAACCCCAGGGCACCCCAAACCCCGGGGGCACCCCAAAAATCCCAGGGATAACTGGATGGGAGGGGGCTTGGGGCTGGTTTGGGGGCACACAGGGATTTTTGGGGGGCGTGGGGGTCAGCCTGAAACATTGGGGTCATTTTTAGGGGGGCACAGGAACTCTTGGGGGGCCATACAGATGATCCCAAAACCCTGGGAGTTGCAGGGAGACACCCCAAAACCCCGAGAATAGGATTGGAATGGGAGGCTTGGGGACATTCCTCAACTTTGGGGGACACAAGAGTGACCCCAAAACTTTGTGTTCATTTTTGGGGGGACTCAAGAATCTCTGGCAGGGGCACAGATGACACTGGCACCATTTTGGGTGAATTTTAGGGGATTTAAGAACCCTTTTAGGAGCGTTCTGCATTCCCAAAAACACTTTTAGGGTTTTTTGGGGTTTCCTGACTGTGAGGCTGAAATATTTGGGTCATTTTTAGGGGGCACCCCAAAACCCCAGGGCACCCCCAAACCCCGGGGGCACCCCAAAAACCCTGGGAATCCATGTGGGGAGGGGGCTTGGGGCTGGTTTGGGGGCACTTGGGGGGTGTGGGGGTGAGGCTGAAACATTGGGGTCATTTTTAGGGGGCACCCCAAAACCCCAGGGCACCCCAAACCCCGAGGGCACCCCAAAAATCCCAGGGATAACTGGATGGGAGGGGGCTTGGGGCTGGTTTGGGGGCACACAGGGATTTTTGGGGGGCGTGGGGGTCAGCCTGAAACATTGGGGTCATTTTTAGGGGGGCACAGGAACTCTTGGGGGGCCATACAGATGATCCCAAAACCCCGAGAATAGGATTGGAATGGGAGGCTTGGGGACATTCCTCAACTTTGGGGGACACAAGAGTGACCCCAAAACTTTGTGTTCATTTTTGGGGGGACTCAAGAATCCCTGGCAGGGGCACAGATGACACTGGCACCATTTTGGGTGAATTTTAGGGGATTTAAGAACCCTTTTAGGAGCGTTCTGCATTCCCAAAAACACTTTTAGGGTTTTTTGGGGTTTCCTGACTTTCTGGACCACCTGCATGTGTGGGCACAGGTGACATTGGGGCCATCCTGAGTGCATTTTATGGGATTTAAGGAACCTTTTAGGACAATCCCATATCCCAAACACCCTTTTAGTGCAGTCCTGCATATCTAAACACCCTTTTTAGGATTTTATTGGGGTTTTCTGACTTTTTAACCCCCTCCCCAGATACCTGAACCACCTGTACACATGGACACTTGGTGTTTTTGGGGCCATCCTGATTGCGTTTTATGGGATTTAAGGACCTTTTAGTGCAGTCCCACATATCCAACCACCCTTTTAGTGCAGTCCCACATATCCAAACACCCTTTTAGGGTTTTTTTGGGGTTCTCTGACCTTCTTAATCCCCTCCCCAGATACCTGAACCACCTGTACACATGGACACGGGTGTTTTTGGGGCCATCCTGATTGCATTTTATGGGATTTAAGGACTTTTTAGTGCAGTCACACATATCCAAACACGCTTTTAGGTTTTTTTTGGGGTTCTCTGACCTTCTTAATCCCCTCCCCAGATACCTGAACCATCTGCACACATGGGCACAGGTGACACTGAGCACATTTTATGGGATTTAAAGGATGTTTAGTGCAGTCCCACATACCCAAGCACTCTTTTAGGGCTTTTTTGGGGTTTCCTGACCTTGTCAATCTCACCACCTGTACACATGGACACAGACGGATTTGGGGCCATCCTGATTGCATTTTATGGGATTTAAGGACCCTTATGTCCAACCTTGTATCCAATGCCTTAAATCCCACACATCCAACCACCCTTTTAGGGCTTTTTTGGGGTTTCCTGACCTTGTCAATCTCCTACCACCTGTACACATGGACACAGACGGATTTGGGGCCATCCTGATTGCGTTTTATGGGATTTAAGGACCTTTATGTCCAACCTTGTATCCAATCCCTTAAATCCCCCATATCCAACCGCCCTTTTAGGGTTTTTCACGGGATCTCCTGACCCAGCATCCCTTTCCCCAGGTACCTGAACGACCTGTACGTGCTGGAGCTGCGCCCGGGCTCGGGGGTGCTGGCCTGGGACATCCCCATCACCTACGGGGTGCTGCCCCCGCCCCGCGAGTCCCACACGGCCGTGGTGTACACGGAGCGCGACGGGCGGCGCTCGCGCCTCGTCATCTACGGGGGCATGAGCGGCTGCAGGCTGGGCGACCTGTGGACCCTGGACATCGGTATGGGGGTTTTATGGGGTCTTTTTGGGGTTTTATGGGGTTTTGTGGGGTTTGGAGGGGTTTTGGGGTCAGGGGAGTAAAGGGTAGTGAGGGTTACTGGAGGAGATCGTCATCTACGGGGGCATGAGCGGCTGCAGGCTGGGCGACCTGTGGACCCTGGATATCGGTATGGGGGCATTTGGGGTTTTTATGGGGTTTTGTGGGGTTTGGAGGGGTTTTGGGGTCAGGGGAGTAAAGGGTAGTGAGGGTTACTGGAGGAGATCGTCATCTACGGGGGCATGAGCGGCTGCCGGCTGGGCGATTTATGGACCCTGGACATCGGTATGGGGGTTTTGTGGGGTCTTTTTGGGGTTTTATGGGGTTTTGTAGCCTGAAACATTGGGGTCATTTTTAGGGGGGCACAGGAACTCTTGGGGGGCCATACAGATGATCCCAAAACCCCGAGAATAGGATTGGAATGGGAGGCTTGGGGACATTCCTCAACTTTGGGGGACACAAGAGTGACCCCAAAACTTTGTGTTCATTTTTGGGGGGACTCAAGAATCTCTGGCAGGGGCACAGATGACACTGGCACCATTTTGGGTGAATTTTAGGGGATTTAAGAACCCTTTTAGGAGCGTTCTGCATTCCCAAAAACACTTTTAGGGTTTTTTGGGGTTTCCTGACTTTCTGGACCAGCTGCACGTGTGGGCACAGGTGACATTGGGGCCATCCTGAGTGCATTTTATGGGATTTAAGAGACCTTTTAGGGCAATCCCATATCCCAAACACCCTTTTAGTGCAGTCCTGCATATCTAAACACCCTTTTTAGGATTTTATTGGGGTTTTCTGACTTTTTAACCCCTTCCCCAGATACCTGAACCACCTGTACACATGGACACGGGTGTTTTTGGGGCCATCCTGATTGCGTTTTATGGGATTTAAGGACCTTTTAGTGCAGTCACACATATCCAAACACGCTTTTAGGGTTTTTTTGGGGTTCTCTGACCTTCTTAATCCCCTCCCCAGATACCTGAACCATCTGCACACATGGGCACAGGTGACACTGAGCACATTTTATGGGATTTAAAGGATGTTTAGTGCAGTCCCACATACCCAAGCACTCTTTTAGGGTTTTTTTGGGCTTTCCTGACCTTGTCAATCTCCTACCACCCGTACACATGGACACAGACGTATTTGGGGCCATCCTGATTGCATTTTATGGGATTTAAGGGACCTTTTAGGGCAGTCCCACACACCCTACCACCCTTTTAGGGTTTTTTTGGGGTTTCCTGATCTGCACACATGGGCACAGGTGACACTGAGCACATTTTATGGGATTTAAAGGATGTTTAGTGCAGTCCCACATACCCAAGCACTCTTTTAGGGCTTTTTTGGGGTTTCCTGACCTTGTCAATCTCACTACCTGCACACATGGACACGGGTGTTTTTGGGGCCATCCTGATTGCATTTTGTGGGATTTAAGGATCCTTATGTCCAACCTTATATCCAATCCCTTAAATCCCACATATCCAATCGCCCTTTTAGGGTTTTTTTGGGGTTTCCTGACCTTGTCAATCTCACCACCTGTACACATGAACACGGGTGTTTTTGGGGCCATCCTGATTGCATTTTGTGGGATTTAAGGATCCTTATGTCCAACCTTATATCCAATCCCTTAAATCCCCCATATCCAACCGCCCTTTTAGGGTTTTTCACGGGATCTCCTGACCCAGCATCCCTTTCCCCAGGTACCTGAACGACCTGTACGTGCTGGAGCTGCGCCCGGGCTCGGGGGTGCTGGCCTGGGACATCCCCATCACCTACGGGGTGCTGCCCCCGCCCCGCGAGTCCCACACGGCCGTGGTGTACACGGAGCGCGACGGGCGGCGCTCGCGCCTCGTCATCTACGGGGGCATGAGCGGCTGCAGGCTGGGCGACCTGTGGACGTTGGATATCGGTATGGGGGTTTTGTGGGGTCTTTTTGGGGTTTTATGGGGTTTTGTGGGGTTTGGAGGGGTTTTGGGGTCAGGGGAGTAAAGGGTAGTGAGGGTTACTGGAGGAGATCGTCATCTACGGGGGCATGAGCGGCTGCCGGCTGGGCGATTTATGGACCCTGGACATCGGTATGGGGGTTTTGTGGGGTCTTTTTGGGGTTTTATGGGGTTTTGTGGGGTTTGGAGGGGTTTTGGGGGCAGGGGAGTAAAGGGTAGTGAGGGTTACTGGAGGAGATCGTCATCTACGGGGGCATGAGCGGCTGCAGGCTGGGCGACCTGTGGACCCTGGATATCGGTATGGGGGTTTTGTGGGGTTTTTATGGGGTTTTGTGGAGTTTGGAGGGGTTTGGAGGGGTTTTGGGGTCAGGGGAATGGGGGTTACTGGGAGATGTCATCAGCTGCGGGGCCATGAGCAGCTGCAGGCTGGGGGATTTATGGATCCTGGATATTGGTATGGGGGGATTTGGGGTTTTTATGGGGTTTGGAGTGTTTTTTGTGGGGTTTGGGGGGATTTTGGGGTCTGGGGAATGGAGAGTAGTGGGGGACATTGGAAGATGTTGGCATCTACGAGGGCATGAGTGGCTGTTTCCTTACATTTTCACTGGTTTTGGGGTTCCCTCACATTTTGGGGCCGTTTCCTCCCATTTTGGAGTCATTTCCTCCCATTTTGGGGCCATTTCCTTACATTTTGGGGTCATTTTCTCACATTTTGGGCGTTTCCAGAGACGCTGACCTGGAACAAGCCGAGCCTGAGCGGGGTCGCTCCCCTCCCCCGCAGCCTCCACTCGGCCACCACCATCGGCAACAAGTGAGTCTGGGGGCGACTCCCCCCAAAAACCCCCCCAAATTATCCTGGGGGGTCCCTTTGTGTCCCGGTCCCCACCCTGGGGGGCTGTTGGGGTTCTTAGGGGGGGTGTTTTGTTTTAATTAAATTTTTTAATTAATATGGGTGATCTCATGACCACCCTCAAACATAAAAATTTGGGGGGTGGGGGTCTCTGGGTGTCCCCCTGACCTCTGACCCCCCCAGGAGGGACATTTTGGGGGGTGGGTGCCCCTGTGACCCACCCAGGAGGGACATTTTGTGGGGTGGGTGCCCCTATGACCCCCCCCAGGAGGGACATTTTTGGGGGGTGGATGTCTCTGTGATCTTTGTGACCCCTGAGGACCCCCAGGGCTGTGCAGGTTTTTGGGGTGGGGGTCTCTGGGTGTCCCCCTGACCCCCCTGACCTCTGTCCCCCCCCAGGATGTACGTTTTTGGGGGGTGGGTGCCCCTGGTGATGGATGACGTGAAGGTGGCCACGCACGAGAAGGAGTGGAAGTGCACCAACACCCTGGCCTGCCTGAACCTGGGTGAGGAGGGGGCTTGGGACCCCCAAAACCGACCCCAAACCCGCCCTAAAACCCACCCTGAAACAGCCCAGACCTCAACCTGGGTGAGGAGGGGGCTTGTGACCCCCAAACCAACCCCAAATCTGTTCTGGGACCCCCAAATCCACCCTAAAACCCACCCTGAAACAGCCCAGACCTCAACCTGGGTGAGGAGGGGGCTTGTGACCCCCAAACCAACCCCAAATCTGTTCTGGGACCCCCAAATCCACCCTAAAACCCACCCTGAAACAGCCCAGACCTCAACCTGGGTGAGGAGGGGGCTTGGGACCCCCAAACCCACCCTAAAACCCCTGAATACTTCCTCAAATTCCCCCAAACCCCACTCTGAACTCCCCAAACCCCTCCCTAATTCCCCCAAATCCCCCCAAGCCCTTCCCCAAATCCCCCCAGACCCCCGTGTGACCCCCCTGTGCCCCCCAGACTCGATGGCCTGGGAGCCCCTGGTGCTGGAGACCCTGGAGGACAACGTGCCGCGGGCGCGCGCCGGGCACTGCGCCGTGGCCATCGCCACCCGCCTGTACATCTGGAGCGGGCGCGACGGCTACCGCAAGGCCTGGAACAACCAGGTGTGCTGCAAGGACCTGTGGTACCTGGAGACAGGTGAGTCTGGGGGGTTCAGGGAGTCTGGGGGGGCCGCAAGGCCTGGAACAACCAGGTGTGCTGCAAGGAGCTGTGGTACCTGGAGACAGGTGAGTCTGGGGGCTGGAACAACCTGGGGGGCTGCAAGGAGCTGTGGTACCTGGAGACAGGTGAGTCTGGGGGGTTGGAGGGGCTCAGGGGGGCTGCAAGGCCTGGAACAACCAGGTGTGCTCCAAGGACCTGTGGTACCTGGAGACAGGTGAGTCTGGGGGCTGGAACAACCTGGGGGGCTGCAAGGAGCTGTGGTACCTGGAGACAGGTGAGTCTGGGGGCCAGAACAACCTGGGGGGCTGCAAGGACCTGTGGTACCTGGAGACAGGTGAGTCTGGGGGGCTGGGGGAGGTCCCAGATGTGCTGCAACACAGGTGTGACAGGTGTAACACGGGTGTAACACAGCTGTGATGTGAGCGGTACAGGTGTACCCAGGTGTAGCAGATGTTACACGCGTGTATCCCACCTGTACCCAGGTGTGATATGAGCATACAGGTGGACCCAGATGTACTCACCTGTACCCAGATGTTATGTTGGTATAATCTATTTGTACCCAGGTGTACCCCAGTTGTATCAGATGTTATGTAGATATAATCTACCTGTACCTAGGTATGCCCCAGGTGTACCCAATTGTACCTAGCTGTGATATGAGTGGTACAGGTGTACCCAGGTGTACAAGATGTTATACAGCTATAACTCACCTGTACCCAGGTGTACCCCAGGTGTACCCAGGTTGTTATGAGTAGTACAGGTGTACCCAGGTGTACAAGATGTTACACAGCTATAACCCACCTGTACCCAGGTGTACCCCAGGTGTAGTAGATGTTATGTAGATGCAATCTATGTGTCCCCATGTGTCCCCGCAGAGCGGCCGCCCGCGCCGGGCCGCGTGCAGCTGGTGCGCGCCAACACCACGTCGCTGGAGGTGAGCTGGGGCGCCGTGCCCACGGCCGACTCGTACCTGCTGCAGCTGCAGAAGTACGAGCTGCCCGCCGCGCCCGCGCCGCCGCCCGTGCCCTCGCGCGTCCCCACGTGTCCCATGTGTCCCCGCAGAGCGGCCGCCCGCGCCGGGCCGCGTGCAGCTGGTGCGCGCCAACACCACGTCGCTGGAGGTGAGCTGGGGCGCCGTGCCCACGGCCGACTCGTACCTGCTGCAGCTGCAGAAGTACGAGCTGCCCGCCGCGCCCGCGCCGCCGCCCGTGCCCTCGGTGCCCGCCAACCCGCCCAAGAGCCCGTACATTGTGAGGGAGGTGGGGGCTTGGGGACATTGGGAGGGAGATGGGGACTCAGGGACGTGGGAGGAGGTGGGGATGTTGGGGACATGGTGGGAGATGGGGACATGGGGACATGGCAGGGAGGTGGGGACATTGGGGACACGGTGGGGAGGTGGGGATGTGGTGGTGGGGGGGAATGGGGACATTGGGGACACTGGGGGGACATTGGGGAAACAGGGAGATGGAGATGGGGACGCTAGGGGCACAGTGGGGAGATGGGGACATTGTGTGGGGGGAATGGGGACATTGGGGACATGGGGGAGGCAGAGATGGGGACGCTGGGGACACAGTGGGGAGATGGGGACATTATAGGGAAGAATGGGTACACTGGGGACTTGGGGACTTTGAGTGGGGACACGGGGGATGTCCCTGGGTGTCACTGACCCCCCCTGTCCCCCCCAGGTGTCCCGGCGGTGCTGAAGGTGACCGGTCCCCCTGCGGCCACCGCGGGGCCGCCGCTGGTGACCGTGCGCTCGGCCGGGCCCGGCAAGGCCCCGGTAACGGTGACATCGCTGCCCGCCGGCGTCAGGATGGTGGTGCCCACCCAGAGCCCCCAGGGCACGGTGAGAGCGGCACCTGGGGACACCTGGGGACACCTGGGACAGGGGCGGGGCACGGGGAGGGGCCCCAGGGGGTGACTGGGGACAGAGGGAGGGACCCCAGAGGGTCCTGGGGGATACTGGGGACACAGGTGTGACACAGGGGGTACGTGGGTGACACAGGTGTGACACAGGGGGTAGATGGGTGGCACCTTGCTGTCCCAGCTGTCCTCGGGTGTGCCCCAGGTATACCCAGGTGTGTCCTAGTTGTGAGCACGTGCTCCCCCAGCTGTCCCTAGGTGGGTTCAGGTGTGCCCAGATGTGCTCAGGTGTCCCCCCCAGCAGTCCCCAGCTGTCCCCCAAGGTGTCCCCAGCAGTCCCCAGTGTCCTCAGCTGTCCCCAGTGTTCCCATCAGTCCCCAGTGTCCCCGCTGTCCCCAGCAGTCCCCACACTCAGTGGTGTCCCCAGTGTTCCCATCAGTCCCCAGTGTCCCCGCTGTCCCCAGCAGTCCCCAGTGTCCCTGGTGTCCCCAGTGTTCCCATCAGTCCCCAGTGTCCCCGCTGTCCCCAGCAGTCCCCAGTGTCCTCAGCTGTCCCCAGCAATCCCCGCTGTCCCGCTGTCCCGTGCTCAGGCGTGTCCCCATCAGTCCCCAGTGTCCCCCCCTGTCCCGCTGTCCCCGCATTCAGGTGTGTCCCCACCGGTGTCCCCTCTGTCCCCCAGCTGTCCCTGCTGTCCCGGGCTCAGGGGTGTCCCCGCAGGTGTCCCCTCTGTCCTGCTGTCCCCAGTGTCCCCCAGCTGTCCCCAGTGTCCCTGCAGTCCCACACTCAGGCGTGTCCCTGCAGGTGTCCCCTCTGTCCCGCTGTCCCCGTGCTCAGGCGTGTCCCCCAGCTGTCCCCAGTGTCCCCCAGTGTCCCCGCTGTCCCCGCACTCAGGCGTGTCCCCCAGGTGTCCCCATCAGTCCCCGCTGTCCCGCTGTCCCCGCACTCAGGCGTGTCCCCACAGGTGATCGGCAGCAGCCCGCAGATGAGCGGCATGGCGGCGCTGGCGGCGGCGGCCGCGGCCACGCAGAAGATCCCGCCGGCCTCGGCGCCCACCGTGCTCAGCGTCCCCGCGGGGGCCACCATCGTCAAGACGGTGGCCGTCACCCCCGGGGCCACCACCCTGCCCGCCACCGTCAAGGTGGCCTCGTCACCTGTCATGGTAGGGGACGCCGCGGGGGCGTGGGTGGCACTGGGGGTGTCATTGTCACCGTGGTGTCACCAGGACTTGGGTGGCACTGGGGGGCATGGTGTGATATTGTCATTGTCACCATGGTGTCACCAGGGCTTAGGTGGCACTGGGGGTGTCATTGTCACCATGGTGTCATCAGGGCTTGGGTGGCACTGGGGGTGTCATTGTCACCATGGTGTCATCAGGGCTTGGGTGGTACTGGAGGGGCTTGGTGGTGTCATTGTCACCATGGTGTAACAAGGACTTGGGTGACCTGGGGTGGCACTGAGGGACTCAGGGTGACCCCGTGGTGTCACCAGCAGCCTTGTGGGTGTCCCCACACTGTCCCCACCATGTCCCAACAATGTCCCAACATATTCCCACATGTCCCCACACTGTCCCCACCATGTCCCCTCAATCTCTCCACAATGTCCCCTCAATCTCCCCCCATGTCCCCACACTGTCCCTACCATGTCCCCACACTGTCCCCCGTGTCCCCACGCTGTCCCCTCAATGTCCCCACGCTGTCCCCACACTGTCCCCACCGTGTCCCTCCCGTGTCCTCAGCTGTCCCCACGCTGTCCCCTCAATCTCTCCACAATGTCCCCACAATGTCCCCTCAATCTCCCCCCGTGTCCCCACACTGTCCCTACCATGTCCCCACACTGTCCCCACGCTGTCCCCACGCTGTCCCCTCAATCTCCCCACACTGTCCCCACCGTGTCCCCAGGTGAGCAACCCTGCCACGCGCATGCTGAAGACGGCGGCCGCCCAGGTGGGCACGGCGGGCGCGTCCCCCGCGGCCACCAACGCGGCCACCCGGCCCATCATCACCGTGCACAAGTCGGGCACGGTGACGGTGGCCCAGCAGGCCCAGGTGGTCACCACCGTGGTCGGAGGGGTCACCAAGACCATCACGCTGGTCAAGAGCCCCATCTCCGTGCCGGGGGGCAGCGCCCTGGTGAGGGGACAGCCGGGGACAGGGGACAGTGGGGAGGGGGACAGGGGACAGTGGGGAGGGGGACGGGGGACAGTGGGATGGGGACAGGGGGACAGTGGGATGGGGACAGGGGGACACGGCTTTGGGGACAGGGGGACAATGGGGATGGGAACGGGAAAGAGGAATGGGGAACGGGAACGGGGAATGGGAATGGGAGGACAGGGGCATTAGGGGGGACACAATTTGGGGGGGGTCTCTGACCCCCTGGGCCCCCCCAGATCTCCAACCTGGGCAAGGTGATGTCGGTGGTGCAGACGAAACCCGTGCAGAGCTCGGCTGTCACCGGGCAGGCCTCGAGCGGCCCCGTCACCCAGATCATCCAGGTGCACCCCAAAACTGCCCCAAAATCACCTTCAAAGCCCTGAGACCCCTCCCCAAATCACTGAGAGTCACCTGAGACCCCCCCCAGAACCCCCCTCGGCTGTCACCGGCCAGGCCTGGAGTGGCACCCAGGTCGTCCAGGTGCACCCCGACATCACCCCAAAACTGCCCCAAAATCTCCCCAAAACTGCCCCAAAGCCCTGAGACCCCCTCCCCAAATTGCTGAGAGTCACTTGAGACCCTCCTCGGCTGTCACTGAGCAGGTCTGGAGTGGCCCTGTCACCCAGATCACACAGGTGACACCCCAAAATCCCCCAAAACTGCCCCAAACATGTCCCAAATCACTGAGACCCCTCAGGCCCCTGAGGCCCTGCCCAAAATTCGCCGACTGCTCCCCACCCCGAGTGATCACTGCTCTCCTGAGTGACCACTCCCCTGAGTGACCATTCCCTGTGACTGACCACTCCCCAAGTGACCACCCACCTCACTGACCCCTCCACTGACTGACCACCCCATCAGTCACCACCCCGGAGGCCCTGCCCAAAATTCACTGACCACTACCCCCCTGAGTGACCACTGCTCTTCTGAGTGACCACTCCTGAGAGACCATCCCCCTGAGTGACCACCCCCCTGACTGACCACTCCCCAAGTGACCACCCACCTCACTGACCCCTCCACTGACTGACCACCCCATCAGTGACCACCCCGAGTGACCCCTCCCCAAGTGACCCCCCCAGACTGACCACTCCCCTGAGTGACCCCCCCTCACTGATCCCTCCCCAAATGACCACCCCCCTGACTGACCACTCCCCTGACTGACCACCCCTCTGACTGACCACCCCTCTGAATGACCACTCCCCTGAGTGACCACCCCCCTGACTGACCACTCCCTGAGTGACCACCCCTCTGAATTACCACTCCCTGAGTGACCACTCCCTGAATGACCACTCCCTGAGTGACCACTCCCTGAATGACCACTCCCCAAGTGACCACCCCTCTGAATGACCACTCCCCTGAGTGACCACTCCCTGACTGACCACCCCCCTAACTGACCACCCCTCTGAATGACCACTCCCCTGAGTGACCACCCCCCTGACTGACCACTCCCCAAGTGACCACCCACCTCACTGACCACTCCCTGACTCCCCCCAAATGACCCCTCCGTGAGTGACCCCTCCCTGAGTGACCCCTCCCCGAGTGACCTTGACTGCCCGCTCCCCTCACTGACCCCTGCCCAAATGACCACCCCCCTGAGTGACCCCTCCCAAGTGACCCCCCCTCCCTGACCCCTCCCCGCAGACCAAGGGCCCCCTGCCCGCCGGGACCATCCTGAAGCTGGTGACGTCGGGGGAGGGGAAGCCCACCACCATCCTGACCAGCACGCAGGCGGGGGCGGGGGCGGCCAAGCCCCCCACCATCCTGGGCATCAGCAGCGTGTCCCCCAGCACCACCAAGCCCGGGACCACCACCATCATCAAAACCATCCCCATGTCGGCCATCATCACCCAGTCGGGGGCTACCGGTGAGTCAGACCCCTCCCCAAATTCACCTGAGACCCCCAAACCATCCCTGACCTCCCTGAGACCCCCGAGCCACTGTGAGACCCCCACCAAAACCATCCCCGTGTCGGCCATCATCACCCAGTCGGGGGCTACCGGTGAGTGAGACCCCTCCCTCCCCATGTCGGCCATCATCACCCAGTCGGGGGCTACCGGTGAGTCAGACCCCTCCTCAAATTTCCTGAACCCATCCAGAGACCCCCAAACCATCCCTGAGACCCTCAAACCCCCTGAGACCCCCACCAAAACCATCCCCATGTCGGCCATCATCACCCAGTCAGGGGCTACCGGTGAGTGAGACCCCTCCCCAAATTCACCTGAGACCCCCAAACCATCCCTGATCTCTCTGAGACCCCTGAGCCACTGTGAGACCCCCAAACCTCCCCCCCACCATCATCAAAACCATCTCTATGTCGGCCGTCATCACCCAGTCGGGGGCTACCGGTGAGTGAGACCCCTCCTCAAATTCACCTGAGACCCCCAAACTCCCCCATCCCCACCCAGTCAGGGGCCAGCAGTGAGTGACAGAGGGTGACCCCCTGTCCCCCTTGTGCCCTGTCCCCCTGCTGGCCCCTCATGACCCCCATGTCCCCCTGACCCATGTCCCCACTGTGTCCTTGTTCCCCCACAACTTCCACCATGTCCCTCTGTGACCCTCTCAATGTCCCTGTCCCCCCATGTCCCTGTCACCCTGCTGTCCCTCTGTGACCATTTCGTGTCCCTGTCACCCTGCTGTCCCCCCGTGTCCCCTTGTGTCCCTGTCCCCCTGTGTCCCTGTCACCCTGCTCTCCCCCTGTGTCACCCCGCTGTCCCCCCTATGTCCCTGTCCCCTGCTGACCCCCCGCTGTCCCCAGGTGTCACCAGCAGCCCCGGGATCAAGTCCCCCATCACCATCATCACCACCAAGGTGATGACCTCGGGCACCGGGACCCCCGCCAAGATCATCACAGCTGTCCCCAAGCTGGGCGGGGGACACGGCCAGCAGGGTGTGACACAGGTGAGGGCACACCTGGGGACAGCTGGACCACCCTGGGGACAGCTGGACCACCCTGGGAACACCTGGGGACAGCTGGACCACCCCCTGGGGACACCTGAACCCCCCCTGGGGACACCTGAGATTGGAGGAGTTCAGGGACAATGGAGCGTGACACAGGTGAGGGCACGCCTGGGGACACCTGGGGACAGCTGGACTACCCCCTGGGGACACCTGGGGACATCTGAACCCCCCCTGGGGACACCTGGGGACACCTGAACCCCCCCTGGGAACACCTGAGATTGGAGGAGTTCAGGGACAATGGAGGGGACCGGAGATGACAGAGGAGGGGTCACATGGGGAGGGGTTGGGTTGGGTCAGACAAGGGTTTGGTGACACTGGGGACACCGGGGTGGGGTCAGCTGAGGGTTTGGGGGCAGTGGCATGGGGTGGTTTGGTGACACTGGGGACACCAGCGGGGTGTCCCTGAGGGGTCCCAGCCCTGAGGGTCCCCAGGTGACAGCGCTGTCCCCGTGTCCCCAGGTGGTGCTGAAGGGGGCCCCGGGACAGCCGGGGACCATCCTGAGGACGGTGCCCATGGGGGGGGTCCGGCTGGTCACCCCCGTCACCGTCTCGGCCGTCAAGCCCACGGTGACCACCCTGGTGGTCAAGGGCACCACCGGTGAGTGGGGTCACTCTGGGGGCGCTGGGTCACCTCTGGGTGGTGACAAGGGGGGGCACTTGTGGTCAAGGGTCACCTCTGGGTCATCTCTGGGTCACTGAGGTAGTCACTAGGGGGGGTCACTTGTGGTCAGGGGTCTCCTCTGGGTCACTGGGGTGACCATTCTGGTGGTCAGGGGTCATCTCTGGGTCACCCCATTGGTCACTTGTGGTCATTGGGTCACGTCTGGGTCATCCTAGTGGTCAAGAGTGACCTCTGGGTCATTGGGGTGGTGACAAGGGGAGGTCATTTGTGGTCAAGAGTCATTTATGGGTCACTGGGGTGACCACCCTGGTGGTCAAGGGCACCACTGGTCACTGGAGGGGTCATTGGGCCATCTAGGGGTCACTGGGGTGGTCACTTGTGGTCAAGGACACCACTGGTGGGGGTGGCGGGTTACCAGGGGGTCATTGGGTCACTGGAGGGGTCACTGGGGGGACACTGAAGTGACCACTCTGGTGGTCAAGGGCACCACTGGGTGGGTGGAGGGGTCATGGGGACACCAGGGGGTCACTTTGGGGGAGGGTCACTGTCATGGGGAAGGGTCACCACATCATGGGGGGGGTCACTTTGGGCTCACTGTGGCACCACGGGGTCACCGTGGGGTCGCTTTGCCGAGCGGTCACTCACTGCCCTCGTGTCCTGGCAGGTGTGACCACGCTGGGGACGGTGACAGGGACAGTGTCCACCAGCCTGGCCGGGGGCGCGGGTGGCCACAGCGCCACGGCCTCGCTGGCCACGCCCATCACCACCCTGGGGACAATCGCCACCCTGTCCAGCCAGGTCCTGAACCCCGCGGCCATCACGGCCACCGCGGCCGGGGGCGGCCTGGGGACACCCACCATCACCATGCAGGTGAGGGGACACTGGGGACAGGGGACACTGGGGACACTGACCATCACCATGCAGGTGAGGGGACAGGGGGGACAGGGGACACTGGGGACACCGACCATCACCATGCAGGTGAGGGGACAGGGGACACTGGGGACAGGGGACACTGGGGACACCGACCATCACCATGCAGGTGAGGGGACACTGGGGACATTGGGGACAGGGGGGCTAAGGACACTGGGGACATTGGGGACACAGGGGACATTGGGGCTGTCCCCAGATGCGGCTCAGCCCCAGCTGTGCCGCTGACAAGAGCGGGGAGGGGACGCTCAGGAATTTGGGGTGACACAAGGGGGGCTCACAAAGGTTTGAGGCTGGGGGCGGCGCTGTGCCCGGTGCCACCTCCCCTGACCCCCCGTGGGGACACAGCCGGTGTCCCAGCCCACGCAGGTGACGCTGATCACCACGCCCAGCGGCGTGGAGGCCCAGCCCGTGCACGACCTGCCCGTGTCCATCCTGGCGTCCCCCACGGCCGAGGGTCCCCCCGCGGCCACCTCGGGGGGTGGCAGCCTGGCCGAGCCCCCCCCCGCCGAGGCCACCCCGGGCACGGTCACCCTGGTGTGCTCCAACCCCCCCTGCGAGACCCACGAGACCGGGACCACCAACACGGCCACCACCAGCCTGGTGGCCAACGTGGGCACGGGGGGGGCGCAGCTGCAGCTGCTCTGCGAGGACACGGGCGGGGGGACGGCGGTGGCAGTGCCCCCCCGGGCCTGCTCCAACCCCCCCTGCGAGACCCACGAGACGGGGACCACCAACACCCCCACGGCGGCGGGGACGGCGCGCCTGGGGACACCCGGGGGACCCCCCTGCCCCACGCAGCAGACGGCGGCCACGGGCACCACGATGACGGCGCGGCTGTGCCCCCCCGAAGGCGGCGGTGTCACCTCTGTCACCTCGTGCCAAACGCAGGAGGCCGCCCCGTGCCAAACGCCCTGGGGACAGCCTGAGGTGGGGACGGCCACCAGCGCGAGCTGTGAGACCCCCGCGGGGACACGGCTGTGTGCCAACCCCCCCTGCGAGACCCACGAGACGGGGACAACCAACACGGTGACAGTGACAGGGGCACAGTTGTGCTCCAACCCCCCCTGCGAGACCCATGAGACGGGGACAACCAACACGGTGACAGTGACAGGGGCACAGCTCTGCTCCAACCCTCCTTGTGAGACCCACGAGACGGGGACAACCAACACGGTGACAGTGACAGGGTCACAGTTGTGCTCCAACCCCCCCTGTGAGACGCACGAGACGGGGACAACCAACACGGTGACAACCACGGGGACACGGCTGTGTGCCAACCCTCCTTGTGAAACCCACGAGACGGGGACAACCAACACGGTGACAACGACAGCGCCAAGGCCACCCTGCTCCAACCCTCCCTGTGAGACCCACGAGACAGGGACAACCAACACGGTGACAACCACGGGGACACGGTTCTGCTCCAACCCCCCATGCGAGACCCACGAGACGGGGACAACCAGCACGGCCACCACCACCACGGCCACCTCGTGCCCTCCGCCCGAGCCGGGGACAGCGGTGCCACCACCTCGAGGTGTCCCCCCCTGCGCCAACCCCCCCTGCGAGACGCACGAGACGGGCACGACCAACACGGTGACAGTGACATCGTCACAGCTCTGCTCCAACCCCCCCTGCGAGACCCACGAGACCGGGACCACCAACACGGCCACCACGGCCACCGCGGGCTCCCGGCCGGGTGACACTACCACCACGGCCACCAGCGCCGCCACCAGCGCCGCCACCTCCAGCACGGGGGGGTCCCCGCCTTGTGCCAACCCCCCCTGCGAGACCCCCGAGAGCGGGGCCACCAGCACGGCCACCACAGCGGGGTCCCCGCCCTGCCAGAGCCACCCGGGCGGGGCCACCAGCCCGGCCACCAGCGAGGGGGTGACAGCGCCGCCCCCGCCCTGTGCCACCGCCACCAGCCCCCCCCGCGCCTGCTCCAACCCCCCCTGCGAGACCCACGAGACGGGGACAACGGCCACGGCCACCACGGTCACCGCCAGCATGGGCGCCAGCCAAGGTGACCCCCAAATTGTCCCCAAATTGTCCCCGCATTGTCCCCAAATTGTCCCTAATCGCCCCCTCCGCCCTCGCTTTGGGGCGGTCGCCTCGCTGACCCCTCCCCGTTGTCCCCACAGAGCCCCCCCCGCCGGCTGCCAACGGGCAGGGGGAGGGCGAGACCCCCCCCAGCGAGGGCGGGGGTCCCCCTGTGCCCCCCGGGACCCCCAGCCCCGGCCCCAGCGGCAGCGGGACCCCCCAGCCCCGGGCGGTCACCACGGTCACTCAGTCCACGCCAGCGCCGGGGCCGGCCGTGCCGGTGAGCGGCTTGGGGACACTGGGAGGGGGTTTGGGGACACTGGGAGGGGCCCAGGCCCTGGCCATCCAGGCCGTGCTGCAGGCCGCCCAGCAGGCCGTCATGGGTCAGTTTTGGGGGGGATTTGAGGGGTTTGGGGAGTCCTGGGGGGATTTCAGGGTGTTTTGGGGGGGGTTTCGGGATGGTCATTGGGGTCTTGGTCCCATGGTGGTGACCCCAGGCCCAGGCTCTGGCCATCCAGGCCGTGCTGCAGGCCACCCAGCAGGCCATCATGGGTCAGTTTTGGGGGGTCCTGAGGGAGTTTAGGGGTGGTCATTGGGGTCTTGGTCCCATGGTGGGGGTCTCATGGTTATGGGGGTCACACAGTGGGGACCATGGTGACCCCGTGACCATGATGACTCCAGGGGATGGATTTTGGGCTGACCCCAGTGACCCCACAGGGTGATTTTTGGGGTGACCCCATGGAATGGATTTTGGGGTGACCCATGGGGTGAATTTTGGGGTGACCTCAGTAGATGGATTTTGGGGTGACGCCAGTGACCCCATGGGGTGGATTTTGGGGTGACCCAAGCGACCCTGCAGGGTGGATTTTGGGGTGACCCCGATGATCTCAGGGGATGGATTTTGGGGTGACCCCAATGACCCCAGGGGGTGAATTTTGGGGTGACCCCAATGACCCCAGGAGATGGATTTTGGGCTGACCCCAATGACCTCAGGGGATGGATTTTGGGGTAACCCTATGGAATGGATTTTGGGCTGACCCCAGTGACCCCATGGGGTGGGTTTTGGGGTCACCCCACGGGGTGCATTTTGGGCTGACCCCAGTGACCCCAGGGGATGGATTTTGGGCTGACCCCAGTGACGGGGTCACCCATCCCCACCCTGACCTGTCCCCTGTGTCCCCCCCTCCCCGCAGGCACCTCGGAGCCGCTGGAGCCGGGCGAGCCCGGGGGGGGCCCCTCGGAGCTGGGGGGGCCCCTGGAGGGGGCGGGGGATCAAGGGCACCACCATGATGGTCACCCACTACTTCCTGCCGCCCGACGACGCGCCGCCCGCCGACGTGCGTGACACCGGGACACCGGGCACGGGGACAGTGCTGGGGACAGCCAGGGGACAGCCAGGGGGCACGGGGACAGTGCTGGGGACACGGGGATGGCATGGGGACAGTGCTGGGGACAGCCAGAGGACAGCCAGGGGGCACGGGGGTGGCACGGGGACAGGGGACACCGGGCACGGGGGTGGCACAGGGACAGCGCTGGGGACAGGGGGGTGGCACGGGGACTGACAGGGGACAGCTCTGGGTACAGCCAGGGGACACGGGGATGGCACGGGGACAGCCAGGGGACACACATGGGGACAGTGCTGGGGACACGGGGATGGCATGGGGACAGCCAGGGGACAGCTCTGGGGACAGCCAAGGGACACGGGGGTGGCACGGGGACAGCGCTGGGGACACGGGGGTGGCACGGGGACAGCCAGGGACAGCTCAGGGACAGTGCTGGGGACAGCCCTGGGGACAGTTATGGGGACAGCTCTGGGACAGCTCTGGGACATAAGGACAGTGCTGGGGACAGCCCTGGGGACAGCTCTGGGACACACATGGGGACAGTGCTGGGGACAAGGGAACAGCTCTGAGGACACACATGGGGACAGCTCTGGGACATGGGGACAGCTGGGTGGCACGGGGACAGCGCTGGGGACACGGGGGTGGCACGGGGACAGCCAGGGACAGCTCAGGGACAGTGCTGGGGACAGCCCTGGGGACAGCTCTGGGACACACATGGGGACAGTGCTGGGGACAAGGGAACAGCTCTGAGGACACACATGGGGACAGCTCTGGGACATGGGGACAGCTCAGTGATCAGCCCCTGGGACAGCCCTGGGACACAGGGACAGCTCAGGGGACAGCCCTAGGGACATACCTGGGTTCTATGTCCCCATGGTGTCCCCACAGGATGATGCCTTGGGGGTCCCAGGAGCTGTCCCCAATGTCCAGGGCGTTTCTCTGGCCGTGTCCCCGGGTGTGGGGGGTTGCTCTGGGGTTGTCCCTGTGTCCGTGTCCCCACGATGTCCCCCTGGTGTCCCCCAGGACGACGCCTCGGGGGTCCCGGACCACTCTCAGCTGCGCCGCCAGGAGCTGCAGCCGGGCACGGCGTACAAGTTCCGCGTGGCCGGGCTCAACGCCTGCGGCCGCGGGCCCTTCTCGGAGCTGTCAGCCTTCAAAACCTGCCTGCCCGGCTTCCCGGGGGCGCCCTGCGCCATCAAGATCAGCAAGGTGACCCCTGCAGGGACCCCAGACCCACGGCAGGGACCCCAGACCCATAACGGGGACCTCAACCCATGGGGGAGCCCATAACATCAACCCAAACCCAACCTGACCCCATCCCTGCCCGGATTCCCAGGGGCGCCCTGCACCATCAGGATCAGCAAGGGGACCCCAGACCCATAACAGGGACCCCAGACCCATAACAGGGACCTTCCTGTGTCTCCCCATGTCCCCCACCTCCCATAGCCCCCTGTACCCCCCATATCCCCTGACCCCGTATTACCCCTGACCCGTGTCCCTCTCATGTCCCCCTCACGTTATTTGTGGGTCTGGGGGCTCCGTGGATGGGTCAGGGGGCTGTTAGTGGGTCTGGGGTCCCACGGGCGCCCCCTCCCCAGCCATGGAGCAGCTGCGGGCGTGGCGGGGCCGCATCGCGGCCGAGCTGGACGCGGCCGTGGCGTTCTGGGAGCGGCACTCGCACGACCCCGAGCACGGGTGAGCCGGGACCCCCCCAAAAACGGCCCGGGACCCCCGAAAACGGCCCGGGACCCCCCAAAAACAGAGCCGGGACCCCAAAAAACAGAACCGGGACCCCGAAAACGGCCCCGGGACCCCCGGAATTGCCCGGGATCCCCGAAACTGGCCCAGGACCCCCAAAAACAGAGCCGGGACCCCAAAAAACAGAACCGGGACCCCGAAAACGGCCCCGGGACCCCCGGAATTGCCCGGGATCCCCGAAACTGGCCCAGGACCCCCAAAAACAGAGCCGGGACCCCAAAAAACAGAACCGGGACCCCGAAAACGGCCCCGGGACCCCCGGAATTGCCCGGGATCCCCGAAACTGGCCCAGGACCCCCAAAAACAGAGCCGGGACCCCAAAAAACAGAACCGGGACCCCCAAAAACGGCACCGGGAATCCTGAAAACAGCCCAGGGACCCCCAAAACCGGCCCCAGGACCCCCAAAAACACTGCTGGCACCCCCCAAAACAGCCCTGGGAAATCCAAAAACAGCCCCGGGACCCTCAAAACCAGCCCCGGGACCCCCAAAAACGGCCCGGGACCCCCAAAAACGGCCCGGGACCCCCAAAAACACCCTGGGGCCCCCCAAAAACAGAGCTGGGACCCCCAAAACCAGCCCTGGGACCCCCAAAAACAGCGCCGGGACCCCCGAAAACAGGCCTGGGACCCCCAAAAACAGCCCCGGACCCCCGGAAACAACCCCAGGACCCCCAAAACAGGCCTGGGACCCCCCAAAACACCCCAAGGACCCCTAAAACCACCCCGGGACCCCCCAAAACACCCCCGGGAATGTGTCCCCTCCTTGTCCCCTGTGTCCCTCCCATGTCCCCCATGTCCCCCATCCCGTGTCCCCTGTGTTCCCCCTATGTCCCCTGACCTGTGTCCCCTCCATGTCCCCCATGTCCCCTGACGCGTGACCCGTGTCCTCAGAGCCCCATCCCGTGTCCCCATGTCCCCTGACCCGTCTCCCATGTCCCCCCCATGTCCCCTGACGTGTCCCCTGTCCCCGTGTCCCCCATGTCCCCTGACGCGTGTCCCGTGTCCCCAGAGCCCCGACGGGGCACACCTGACGTGGGAGCCGCCGTCGGTGACGTCGGGCCGCATCGCCGAGTACTCGGTGTACCTGGCCATCCAGGGGGGGCCCGGGGGGGGCCCCGAGGCCCGCGGGGGGGGGGCGCAGCTGGCCTTCATGAGGGTCTACTGCGGGCCCAGCCCCTCGTGCCTGGTGCCGGCCTCCAGCCTGGCCAGCGCCCACATCGACCACACCACCAAGCCGGCCATCATCTTCCGCATCGCCGCGCGCAACGACAAGGGCTACGGCCCCGCCACGCAGGTGCGGTGGCTGCAAGGTGGGTCTGGGGGCTCTGAAATGAGTCTGGGGGCTCAGAAATGAGTCTGGGGGCTGCCAGGTTGGTCTGAGGGCTGCAGAGCCCTGGGGGTCCCTGTGGCACTGGGATTGTCCCCTGCAGTGACAAGGGCTACGGCCCCGCCACGCAGGTGCGGTGGCTGCAAGGTGGGTCTGGGGGCTCTGAAATGAGTCTGGGGGCTGCCAGCTGAGTCTGGGGGCTGCAGAGCCCTGGGGGGGCAGGTGGCACTGGGATTGTCCCCTGCAGTGACAAGGGCTACGGCCCTGCCATGCAGGTGCGGTGGCTGCAAGGTGGGTCTGGGGGCTCTGAAATGAGTGTGGGGGCTGCCAGGTGGGTCTGGGGGCTCTGAGATGAGTGTGGGGGCTGCACGCACCTGGGTTGGGGGTCCAAGAGGGTCTTGGGGGGCGGCGCTGGCTGTTCTGGACCCCCCAGTTCTGGGTCTGGGGGGGAAATTTTGGGTCTGGGGGTCCTGGGGTCACTTCGGGGGTCTCCAGCCCTTTGAAACCCCCCAATTTTGGGTCTGGGGGTCACTTTGGGGGTCTCCAGCCCTTTGAACCCCCCCAGTTTTGGGTCTGGGGGTCACTTTGGGGGTCCTGGGGTCACTTTGGGGGTCTCCAGCCCCTTAAAAACCCCCAATTTTGGGTCGGGGGCGTGGCCATGCAGAGGTGGGCGTGGCTGAGGGGCGGAAAGGGGCGTGGCTAGGAAGGGGGCGTGGCCTTGTCGCGAGGTCTCGTGACTGGGCAGCGGTCGCGNTCCCGGGGGGTTTGGGGAGGGGGATTTGGGGCAGTTCCCCCGTTTACCCCTTTTAGGGGCAGTTCCGTCCCTTTGCCATCCCCGAATTTCCCCAAATTCCCCCAATTTTACCCCAAATTCCTCCAATTTTACCTCAAATCTCCCCAATTTTACCCTAAATTCCTCCTATTTTACCCCAAATTCCCCCAAATTTCCCGAATTTTTCCCCAAATCTCCCCCAATTCTCCCAAATCTCCCCAATTTTACCCCAAATTCCTCCTATTTTACCGCAAATTCCCCCAATTTTACCCCAAATTCCCCCAATTTTACCCCAAATTCCTCCAATTTTACCCCAGATTTTCCCCAAATCCCGGGGGGTTTGGGGAGGGGGATTTGGGGCAGTTCCCCCGTTTACCCCTTTTAGGGGCAGTTCCGTCCCTTTGCCATCCCCGAATTTCCCCAAATTCCCCCAATTTTACCCCAAATTCCTCCTATTTTACCGCAAATTCCCCCAATTTTACCCCAAATTCCCCCAATTTTACCCCAAATTCCTCCAATTTTACCCCAGATTTTCCCCAAATTCCCCCAAATCTCCCCTAATTCTCCCAAATCTCCCCAATTTTCCCCAGATTTCCTGAATTTTTCCCCAACTTTCCCCCAAATCTCCCCAATTTCCCCCAAACTCCCCCAAGTCTCCCCAATTTCTCCCAAATCTCCCCAATTTTTCCCCAAATTTCACGAATTTCCCCCAAATCTCCCCAATTTTCCCCAAATCTCCCCAAAATTTCCCAAATCTCTCCAATTTTCCCCAATTTTCCCCAAATCTCCCCAATTTCCCCCAAACTCCCCCAAGTCTCCCCAATTTCTCCCAAATCTCCCCAATTTTTCCCCAAATTTCACGAATTTTCCCCAAATCTCCCCAATTTTCCCCCAAATCTCCCCAATTTTCCCCAAATCTCCCCAAAATTTCCCAAATCTCTCCAATTTTCCCCAATTTTCCCCAACTTTTCCCCAAATTTCCCGAATTTTTCCCCAAATTCCCCCAAATCTCCCCAAATTTCCCGAATTTTTCCCAAAATTCCCCCAAATCTCCCCAATTTTCCCCAAATCTCCCGAATTTTCCCCAAATCTCCCAAATTTCCCCCGATCTCACCGCCTGCAGTTCCCCCCGTGGCCGCCAAGCGGCGCTGTCCCCATTGCTCTCTATGGGCGCCCCCAATTTTTATTTTTTCCCTCACCCCCAATTCTCCAAAAATCACCCAAAATTCACCCAAAATTGCCCAAAATCGGCGGGATTTGCCCCAAACCTCAGCCGGGGAGTTCCTGGAGAGCCACGTGCGGCCGGAGCCCGGCTCGTCCCGCGCCGCCTTCGCGCTGAGCCGGGCGGGGCTCCCGGTGCGGCTCCAGCGCAGCTTCTACAGCGAGGCCTTCGCGGCGCTGGGGCTGCACGAGCTGGGCCGGGCGGCGGGGGACGAGAGGTACCTGGTGAGACCCCTCCCCAAATTAACCCTGATACCTGGTGAGACCCCTCCCCAAATTAACGGGGACCACTCCCCAAATTAACCCTGATACCTGGTGAGACCCCTCCCCAAATTAACCCTGGGACCCCCGGGACCGGGTGAGACCCCTCCCCACATTAACCGAGACCCCCGGGACCCCTCCCCAAATTAACACTGACGCCGGGTGAGACCCCTCCCCAAATAACCCTGGGACCCCTCCCCAAAATAACCCCTGAGACCCCTCCTCAAAACCACCTCCGAGACCCCCAAACCACCCCCAGTACCCCCGAAAACTCCCCGAGACCCCCAAACCCCCCTGGGACCCCCAAACCACCCTGGGACCCC